TTAATTTTACCATCAGCTATAAGAGCATCAACCTTGCTCTCAAATTCAAAGGAATAATTGTACCAGTCTAATATTTCCTGCTGACTGGATTTTATTGCTGTTTCAAATAAATAAGATAAGTGCTGGGCAGAACCCGAAATCAAATTCTCTAAACAAATGCAAGAGCTGATGATTTTGGTAGAGCTGACATTATTTTCAGGTAATATGGATGAACATAATTTATGTATTAGGCCTTGTTCTACGATTTGATTTTCATCAAGCGATTCCTTTGGAATCATGTCATCGTCTTGCTTCACAGATACTTCAGTTTTCAAAATCACATGACTTTGATCGTTCCCTGAAGGAACGGTTTTTTCAAATTCTCCCGAATTTTCCAAAATCATCCGATCAATATTAGTAGCAGATGAGTCCTGATTAGCCGATTCATACAGTAGTCTATTGTGTTGCCTAATCTCATCGCTAACCTTATTCTTATGCACCTCATCCAAGAAAGCATCCGTTTCCTTATCTTCCAATGGCTCAGTATTGGTGTTATCACTAGGCATGGTATCTACTTGTCCTACTTCACTATTGAGCCGATCTGTTTGCTTCGGCAAACTGGATACATCAACAGCTAATATCTCTGGTATCGCTTCCTCAAAAGCTTCACTAACTTGTGTCTGCTGTTCCAACTTTGTAAATCTAACCCTAAACTCAGCATTCTCAGACTCGAGTTTAGTGATAGCTAACTTATATTTCTCTAGCTCCACTATTTTGGCGTTAAGTTTACCAATCTCGATTGAATAATGCGATATAGTTTTCTTCAGCTCATCGGTTCTGGTCTTAAGCTCTTGCCTTAGCTTCATTTTCTCAACCTCATCCTCAGCAACCTTCTTTCTAAGTTTGGGAACCTCATCATTCTCAATCTTAATTTCAGCAAATTTCTTCCTAAGCTCAACAATCTCAGCTAAGAGCTTAGCATTTAATTCTCTTAATGAATCGTTGGATTGAGTGTTTGACATCGATAAATTTTATACAAGAACGGAAATATTCAAAAGTTCGTTAGTATATATAGAAACAGTCAAGTAAAATATATAGGTTATTTCAGCTGATCGTTCCCTGAGGGAATGGTTTTTGCCAAGAAAATTTTTTATTAATACATGCGAAAAATAAATACAAATATTCAGGACTTTGCCTGTGATACATGACGATTTTTTCTATGCTAATATCTATACATACGACTATTTATTTTCTGTTTTTACCCGTTTCAATGATTCCTGTGATTCAATCTGGCGATCAAATACCCACTTAATTTGCCCAAACAAGTTTTTAACAGGCTTTGCCAAGTCCTCATGGGTTAAAACAGAGTTATTAATTGGTAGTAAAGAGGGTGACAAAGAACTTAATAACACTTTCACCTTCCCTTCACTATTATTCTCAGAGCCAGACGAAACTAGTTTGATTATTACCCAATCCACAGCAGTTGATACAATCCCATACATTACATCTTCATGTAAACCTGCCGTATTGTAGCTACGTTTTTTAGGATTATGCTGAATGGATATCTACAATTAGATTGCATTCTGTGCAATACCTTGATTGATGTCCTCTTTTTTTGCCTCGGTAACTGTGATGATTGTGTTTCCCACTTTTATGATCCAATTAACTGGTCCTTTGCCATGACTTCCAGAAATTTCGTATTGGGGATAGACTTTCACCTCACCATCAAAGATTGATGCTATACCGTAAATAATACGGGAAATAAACTCACAACGAGTGGTTTCATTGGTGCTAGTGATATGTTAGGATGTCTTGTGTAATCTCAATAATTCACCTATAACTTGATTTCGGATCTCTTCCAGAGTATCCTTGACACCTCCATCAAAAAGTGGTAATCCGTTATAATCATCTGCCTTCAAGCCGAAGAGTACCTTCACCTTATCAAACTTTCACGAGGAAAATAATTGTTGTGCTATTTGCAGAAATACAAGATTAAACCCGTTAGTATCTGTTGCATGTAAATCTCACGAAAAAATCACAATCAGTACCAACCATTACTTACATGTGTTCACGATAATTAGGAGGTCTACCTTGAATCCCTGAGACCAGATTATACATGCCAAATCCTCATCATTGACCAAGCGAACGGTTGAACGTTTCTTTCCACTGCCACTCTCACGATTAATAATGATATGTTCATCCTCAGTTCCGTCTGGAAAAGTGAAACAAGTACGAAGCCTCGTCTTCAAAGTCGACAAGGTTATTTGTCCACGAGTTACTGCCTACAAGAATTTTTCTGGCTTGTGACGACCATATGTTATGGTACAATATACCTCTTTCGTTTCAACAAGACGCTGTACGATGATATGTATGTGTTCGTCGGTTGGCTGGAAGGGAAAATGTTTGCTAATTTTCGAAAGTGGAAGCAGTTCTATACCACCAAGCTCCTCCTTGATATTAACGTTAATTTTTGTGTTGACGAGCTAAAGTTTTTCGTTTTCTTCTTCGAGGGAAATGTCGACCTTTCATAACTTGAGGTCTTTTGCCTTAACATTATCGTCAATTTTTTCCTTAATAGCGTCCTTGAACAACGCCACGGTCTTTATTTGACTGGTGTCGATAACAACCTGAAAGGCATTTTCATAAGGGTTTCTCCTACAACTAAACAACTGAGAGTGATAGTTGACATAGCGCTTTTATAGGGATATTTAGCTCGGACAAAAAATAGTGTTACGTTCCAGAGTGAGATAAAAATTTATTTCTGTTTGGGAAAGGAAGTACTGGACATTAATATAGCTTTTTATGTCGCACAGGCATTGCATCATTTCACGTGACCCGTTTCTCATATACATCTCATATACTGATAAAAATAATACTTTATTTACGAAATAAAAAACGTTGCCGGAAGTCAGCCTACAATACATAAAATTGCGACTATAGCGCTACATGATACAGAAAATTATTTGGAATATACAGTGAAATGGAAGTGCTCTGCTTTAGGTTTCTCATCAAAAATATCGATAAAATTCTCATTCATGGCCATTTCCCTTTCAATAGTGCTTCCGGCTTGAATTATACAAATTTTGAGAGGGATTTAATTAAATGGTGCCCCTAATCTGCTTTGAATTGCAGTCTCGAGATCACTTTAATTACCACTTCTGTGAATTGTAATCGATTGCATTACTTTAATGCATGGAATATTCATAAGTTTTCCTATAGGAACGATAAAACAATTAAGAGTAATGTTATTATCATCTATTTCGACTCCTAAATGCAAGAATCCATAGTGAGAAAATTGCTTGGCCCACTCGCATTAAAGAACATATACTGTACATACCTTATTTTGCGTTATTTTTTACGGGAATGTTTTTTGCAGAAAGTTGGCTGAACTTCCACATACCATTACATGCTTTATATCTTACGGGAAAAAAGTTAAGGAGATAAATAGATAGTGATTAGCATTATTGTATGATGCCAAGAGTTCTATGAAAGCACATGTAAACGGAATCCTCATACCTCTTCACATGTAGATCTACCAGAAAGACATATATTTGATTTTATGCCTGGTGATCTCGAAATTGCAAGTCCCTCAGCCTTTTATAACATATGCTTTTGACGTTAATATTTACTTTTAGAGTAGGTCTTGTGTTGCATGTAGACTTTCTTTTACATTTCCTCATGTTTGTTCAGGAAAAAAATAGACTAAAGGTTAGCATACATAATTTATTTTCGATTATATATGAAATTAATATGTCGCACAGACTGACCGTATGATTAGCCTATTTTCTGTCACACAGGAATACATGCATTGTGACTCAGAAAAAAATCTTCTGAGCTGATGATCACTGCTCCAGACTACCTTCGCTCGGGTTGGTTATCTAATGTATGCCTCTCAATAAGTATTGCATCCCATTCAGATTAGCAATGCCGGACTGACTGATATAATCTTTAATCCCAGTTATAATACCAGTCACTGATTCTTTTTTCGCCTGAATAAGCATTTCTACCAATTTATGATAATAATCATTTTTTGCAATACGTCTCATATTTTCTCGCGTTAATCCACTATAGAATTCACTTCTAAAATGACCTTTACAGAGTTTGACGATATCATTATATTTCTTTACCTTTAAACAGTAATCCACTATTAATTCTTCACCTTAAATAAACAATCTACATCAGAACTTCTCAATACCATCCAGCCATATTTTCTCTCAAAGTTTATGCAGATAATATGATAATTTTATCAGACTTAATATTTGCGAAAGATAAAAGGCATCAGATTGTAGGAATACATGGAATAATGATATTGGATTTTTTACACTAGACAAAGCATATACAAATTGCTTAAACGCTTTCTCCCTCCAATACCTGACTGCCTTTGTCTTCCAATAGGTTTTGATTGTACAAAAAAGATCGTCTCAGTATCTTCATTTATCGGGATTCCTTACATTATCCCAATTATATTTCAATCCAAATTCTTTGATAAATTCATTATAAGTCTCATCCGTTTCGTCATCTGACATTTTGCTAATAGACCAATTATACTTAATAAAAAAAATAAGTACTGGTTAACATGTATAGCTTCTTTTCAGTATACAGTTAAACCTCTCTATAACGAATCCTCATTTTTGGGGTCACGATTCGTTGTAATGAGAAAATTCAGTAACGTTTTACTAAATTTTAAAAATTTATTCACTATATAGTGATACCGAATATCATATCCAAATTCAGTATGATAATAATATAGAAATTTATCATTTACTGTAATCAAAAACCACAGCTGAAACTGATAATCCAGTTTGAAACCGATTTACTAAACATCCCTAAATATTTTTATTATATATTCGGAAGTTCAATTTTTATTGGTTATAAATTTGGCGTAACTTTATAATTTCGCAAAAAAAAAAAAATTAATCTTTTTTACCATAACCATCGAATATATTTTATTCTTTACTAGTATTAGCCTTATCTGCATTTCCCAAACATGAATCCAATGTAAAATCAATTTTATCAGATTTTTATTCTGTATATATGATTATTTGGTTAAGTGCTACTAGTGCTTCATAATTACTGATAATAGGAATTTTCAGTTCTTCATTATTTGGTTTTACTTCTGGTTCTTTCATTAATTCTATAATTTCCTCATCAATTATCATCTGATGAATTGTTTCTTCTTTTTTAGACCGCAAATATTCTTCAGCAGAAATTGGATTTTTGTATATATTAGGAGTTAATCGATCAATAAAATTTTGTATTCTATTG